AGAAGAAGAAGAAGAAGAAGAAGAAGAAGAAGAAGAAGAAGAAGAAGGGAGGAGGAGGAGGAGGAGGAGGAGGAAGAAGAGGAAAAAGCCATGCCCACCCAGTCACATGGCTATGCCCACCTAGCCACATCCACAGAATCAATTGTTAAAAAATTTGAATCCCACCCCTGGACTTAATGCTTCTTCAATATATTTGCAGAGAAAGTGAACAAGGAAGTGTACTAATCTCTGTGCATACACAGTGCTCTGCTAGCCAGAGTGGCCCGTGGCTGCCTTCATTTGTATTTCACTTTTTAGTTTACGTAGGAATCAGAATAGTGAAAGAATTTCTCTCGCATTCGTCTTAAAACAAATTGTGCCTGAAGGGGCATAATACATTGTGTGCAGAAGCCGTCCGAAGAGTATTATGTGGTTCAAGAGTTCAACGGTGGGGTCCTTGGGGTGTCCTGGATTGTTGTCTTGCCGACGTTTTGTTGCCAAACTAGGAAACATCATCAGTGCACTAATCAGCACGCAGATGATATTACCTTACCATCATCAGCACACTGATAGCAATAGCAATAGCACTTAGACTTATATAGAATAGAATAGAATAGAATAGAATAGAATAGAATAGAATAGAATAGAATAGAATAGAACAGAAATAGAAATAGAAATAGAAATAGAAATAGAAATAGAAATAGAAATAGAAATAGAAATAGAATTGAATTCTTTCTTGGCCAAATGTGGTTGGACACACAATGAATTTTGACTTGGTGCAAACACTCTCAGTGTACATAAAAGTAAAGATACATTCATCAAGAGTCAAGAATCATCAGGTACAACACAATAATAGTCACAGGGTACAATAAGCAATCAAATCATACTAGGAAACAGTCCATAAAAATCGTAAGGATACGAGCGACAAAGTTACAGTCATACAGCCACAAGTAGGAGTGGGTGGGTGATAAGGAGTGATGAGAAGATTAATAGTAATAGTAGTGCAGACTTTTTAAATAGTTGGGCAGTGTTGAGGGAATGATTTGTTTAGCAGAGAGATGGTGTTTGTAAAAAAACTGTCCTCGTGTCTAGTTGTTCTGGTGTGCAGTGCTCTATAGCATCGTTTTGAGGGAAGGAATTGAAACAGTTTATGTCCGGGATGTGAGGGGGTCTGTAGATATTTTCACAGCCCTCTTTTTGACTCATGCAGTATACAGGTTCTCGATAGAAGGCAGTTTGGTAATCATTATTTTTTCTGCAGTCCTAATTACTCTCTGAAGTCTGGGTCTGTCCTGTTGGGCTGCAGAACCCCAAAACAGTCACCTCGGGCTCCACTGGAAGCCAAAAATGGGCCCATTTCCGGCCTTGCTGAACTTTTGGGAGGCCCATTTTTCGGCCTTCCTGAGCTTCCAAGCAGACGTGACCTTCCCTGCATCCAAAACGGGCTGTGTGGGGACTCCTGGGAGGGGAGAGGTGGGTGGGGCCAGCCAGGAGTGGGATTTGGGGGATCTCCAAAATGGCAGAGAATCTTAGCTAGGGGGAACCCCCAGCCACTCACCTCTGATGACCGTGATCACATGATCACAATTCAGGTTCTTGGCAACCCGTCCCAACTTATGACCGTTGCAACGTCCCTCGGGGGCAAATCACACGATTCTCTTTTGGGACCTGCTGACAAGCAAAACTCAAATGGGGAGGCCAGATTTCCCTTTAGCAACCGACTTGATCAGCTGCAGGGATTCACTTAACCATGGTTGGGAAGCAGAGTGGTCAAGCCCACTTAAACCACTATCTGGCTTAAGCGGCAGAAATTTCGGGCTCAAAAAAAGCCAAGGATATCCCGTATATCCCAGATAGGCTTTTGAAATATATGTGGGTACATACATAATTTTGTATGTATGTATGCATTTATTTAAACATGTTTCTGTCGTGTGCATTGGAGGTGGAGACCCTTTGACAGCTGGATGCCATAACATTTTATTTTAATGGAGGGAGATTTGTGTCGATTCCAAGTGACAATAAAGTTACTACAGTATTCTCTATTCCAGGAGTCTCCAATCTTGACAACTTTAAGCCTTGTGGACATCAACTCCCAGAATTCCACAGCCAGCTTTGCTGGCTGATGAATTCTGGGAGTTGAAGTCCACCAGACTTGAAGTTGCTTTGCTGGCTGAGGAATTCTGGGAGTTGAAGTCCACAAGTCTTAAAGTTGCTTTGCTGGCTGAGGAATCCTGGGAGTTGAAGTCAACCAGACTTG